CATGCTGACTGCATTTTTGTCAGAAATTTCCAAAAATTAATCAGTTAAACATCGACGTTGGTTCAAACAAGACGACGGAACTTGCAATACAGCGCGCTTAACAATCGATCTATTGCGAAAACAATTTGGTGACAACTTTATTTCCAGCAGTGGTCATGTTAACTGGCCCCACTCTTTCGTGCGATTTAGCATTTCCCGATTACTTTTTATGAGGCTTTGTTAAGTCATTGGTGTATGCCAACAAACCAGCAATTCTTGAAGCATTGGAAGACAATATTCATACCACCATTAACACCATACGGCCACATTTATTGCAAAAAATAGTGAAAAATTGGTCTGATCGAATGAATCATATAACTCATGTAAAGCCGCGGCGGACATATATCGGAAATCATATTCAAAAAGTAAATGCCATGAAATTATCTGCGAGATTATAATAAAAAAAATTTGATTAAAACAATATTTCTGTCTTGCATTATCATTTTAAGTTCTTATATAGCTAAAAAAAAACTCCCGATATAATCGCTTGGCACTCATTTCACTATTAAATAAACCAAATTTTTTGAAATTGGCAGGTTAGCGATATTTCAAATAAACATTCTGAAAACTAAACTTTACCAGCAAAATAATGAAGAGACTATGATTAGACCCTAAAAAGCAAAGACACATTCTCAATATCGTTTGTCAAGCATGAGAATACCATATTGCCTATTGCACTGTTAAACTAAATTAATGTCAATTACAAAATAAACTTTTTCACATCAACATATAATAAACAAAAGTCAAATTGCCGACTTATACGAAAAAAAAGAAAATTCCAGCTAACAACACTAAAAAAGGGAAATAAGTAACAGTTAACAGCACTAAAAAACCAGAAGAATAATTTTACAGCTAAAATGGCTGGGAAGTACGCATAAAATAAATCAATTTTAATAAAATTATTAAAAATTATTAAAAGCTTTCTTATAACGTGAAATAGTCTTTATTAAGTAATAAAAGTCATTAATGTACAAGTATATATATCATCATTAAAAATTATTTATCTTACATTTTAATAAAATTCTGAATCAATCAAATTCAATTAATTTAAAGTTTATCTACAATAAACTACTACGGTTCAAACATGATTATGTGTATTAAAAAATTTCAATTATGCAATTTTATGGAAGAACACCAAAATTCATTTTATGCATGACTATGGAGGAGAACAAAAGACTTAAGACACAAACTTCTGCTGGACAAAATTTCAACATCTTTGGCATTCCGTAGTCTTCTTGCATACTACAAACTACAAGTTTTACCGTTGCAACGACATGCAAACACTACACACAATAAAATTGCAGTCCATAAGTTTATGTGCATGTTCCGTTCTCTTCGCTGTTTTTATTGTTTTATATTATTCACATTTTTTTTTTTTTTGCTGGAATATGCAGATGTGATTCATGTCTTACAGATTCCACCGACTTCCTGCAGAAATTGCTGAACAAAATATTGCAACATTAAGCAAAGCCATTTTGCCACTTAAAATAAAACAACATAGCAGTGTCTATAATACATGACTACACATAAAATATTTATGAATTTAATTGAAAATCAGAAATAAAAAAAGTTTATTAGTTATATGTATGTAAAGTGTTTCTATGCATAGAAAATTTAGAAAATCAAAAAAAAATATACTTATATAAAATATAAATATTTACTTAATTATTTTTGATTATATAGTTATTAGACTGTTTAAATAATTATTTAATAGTTACCATTCAAAGAGCACTTAGAATACAGCGCTACTTAGTCATAACTTAGTTTTTTTAGTTTTATATTATTGAAGAATAATATTTTTAATAAAGGTTGAAGACAAGACAAACAAGACTTATGTGACAATGACGGCTCCAAATATCAGGAATGGCATAGCTATAGTACGCGAATACCATTAACAATATGAAAAAACGGAAGATTTATGCTCCTTTCGTGCTTCTGACGGATTACCTAAACTTACGAAACCATAATGCAAATCACCCATTGTAGCAGTTGATAATCAAGATATTTCCAATATGATAATTAAGATATTTCCAATACGATATGAAAAACAACAGATAAAAGCATGAAAGTCACCACAAGTGCCAAAAGAGAGAAGATTACACTTTCAAAAGACTAAAATCAAGATTTTTTTCGATTTAAACGGAACTGTTCAAAGTAAATTCTTTCCAAAAAGTTACACATTAAGTACACAATATTTTCTAAAAATTCTCCAAGGATTGTAAACCAAAATTCAAAATTTTTGTCTGGACTGTCGATGACTACATAATTGATTTTTGTTAAAAGATTATACACTATCGGGCAAAATTATAACCGGACACTTATGTGAACAAAACAAGATCCAATCTTAACGATCATCCACTGTGTGCATTTAAGTTGGCACATCATGTTACTTAGGACTGCTCCACAAACTAAATAAGACAAAAAAAAAGCGTTTAGATACTATTCCGTTCATTCACAAGGGTTTGAACAATACCATATATCAAAGAAAATTCTAGTCGATGAGTATAAAAAATTTTACAAAAATTTGTTGAATGTTTCCAGCGCTGTGTTGATTCGAAAGGTTATTATTTTGAGTAAAGAAAAATTAAAAATAAAAGACACTCTATTTTCTTGGAGATTAGTCTTTTCAGATCCTGAAAGTTGAGAACACAACTTAATTATAACAAACTAGCAATATTTAGTTTATCTATTAAAATCTATTTACTATTAATATAAGTAAATTTATAACTCCAGGTTAGATTTGGTTATATCAGCGATCCTAAGGGGATCTACTTAGGCCTATTGACCCATTGTGTTATCGTATATAGAGAAAAATCAAGGCTTTAAATCACTTAGAACCTTAAGCAAAGCTTAGAACGCTGTTTAGTGGGGGTCTTGTAATTGATTACGATTCTCAAGAAAGGGGACTCCTAAAGTGTTGTGTAGCTGATGTGCATGAGTTGGACAAAGACAGAGTAGATGAGAGGCACTTTGATGGTCTTCCCCACAGCTGCGACAGGTATAAATGAAAGGGAGATTCAATCTTCTAGCATGGTTCCCTAGTCTCCAGTGATCTGTAAGTAATCTTACTATAAAACTGATATCTCTACGGGGCATATTAATGAGAATTTTGGATTCCATTTTAGTGAAAAGTAGTCAGATTGCATACAGACACCTGCATATCGTTGAGTCTACCCATCTTTTATTAATAAATTCAGCACAGGAAGAGTTCATTAACAATTTGCATGGTTATAACGAAACGTCCAGATTACTTAGTTGTTCCTTACTTAATTGAAGTGCTGAAGCGTCCTTTCGGGCTACATCGTTTGTTCTGCAGTTGCCTAAAATATCCCTATGACCGGTAATTTAACGCATTTTTTATTTTATAGTTGGATGTAATCCTAATAAAATATAAAATAAAAATTCAACACTTGATACTAAATGCACCTTAAAAAGCTCTCCGTATTTATTTGCTTACTGTGAAGCGTAGAGTAGAGTGAAAAAATTAGGCGTTTCAGAAAGAAAATATAGTTTGTTCCTTAATGTTGATTTTTTCTCTTGGATTTTCTTTTATATTATTTATTTATTCAATACTTAATTATAGAATATATAAAAGCCAATGTTCTAGCAAGTCGAAGTGAACATATACCAATTTACGACTCACATTAAAAGCCTTATATTTCTTTACAAAGTAATTTGCAATCTGTCGAGTTTGTTGTAAAGTTTGCGGAATAGATCTACGCTTTGGTCAGTTCCACGAAATTATTGGCCAGTAGTATTCGTACTCGTAATAAAACGCGCGCTTAACTTAAAATTACACAATCTGAGAAATAAGAAAATATTTAGTACTCACAAGAAAGTTTATCGAATGATGTGGCCAAGTTGCAATGCTGCTGCTGGTGGTGGTGCTGCTGCTGCCACTGCTATTGATGATGTAAGTTATATAAAAATGTGCCTAGTTCTAACCTGCTGGTTACTGACAACCGCATACCACACGAAGCGAGTCCCTAACATGACGCAAGCTTCACATTGCTTCACAGAATAGTCAATCACTATGAAGAGTTCGCACATGTACAACAACCTCTGCTACGGTTAGAGATACGCCTGGTTTTACATTCTGTTGTTGTTTTGTTGGTGTTGTTATTGCACTGCATTTAAAATAATTGAACACATGAAACAACCAGAAAAAAATTTAAAAGAAAGAAGCGCGCGTGCGCCCCAAATGCAACATCATTATGATCAAAGAACATGGTACAACTATGTATCTTAAATATAAACTCATTGGCAACATAGCAACCGATACGCGGACTTTGCCATTTTTCTCCTTAACTCATTTCTTCTCAAAGTAAATCATAGTCTTAGTCTCAATACAAAATGCTACAATCGCGGCGTAAGACAGATGTGCAGCTTTGAAATCATTAAGATTTGCTCCAGATAATGATGCTCTTTCGCAGTTCAGGAATTCTGACTCTGACTCTGGCTCTGGCTCTGGCTCTGGCTCAGGCTCTTACTCTGACTGACTATCGTTCGTTTGTAATCAAATTATATTTTCCCATAATAATACCAGCAAAAGAATTGAAAACAGCCAAAGAAAAGAAAAGAAAATACGGTTCTGTTTGAACACAATTCATCTGGAGAAAGGAAGTGGGGTGAAAGCAGCAGAAATGTTAAAGAGCAACAAATAGTACGAAACAAGTTAATAATTTTTACTTAATGTGCAAAAGAAAGTAAATCGTTTAAATTATAGCTTTGATTACCAGGCATTTAACCGAACATATATGCGAATTAGTGTTATGAAGTCCATGTAAAGTAACTGGAATTTTTTAAATTAGTTGACCATAAATTGTGGTATTAGTCGATAATCACAGACTCTGAATCCATTGAAATTATTTCAACACTCATTTCAGTTGCAAGTTAACAATCAATGCCATTATTAAATCCAAAAACTCTAACATTATTCTTTTATGATTTTATCTTTTTAGAATGAACCTGAATGCACACCGGAATTACCAGCCGCGAATCGTGCTTTATTTCTTGAGAAGGTGCGTCAATCTAACGCCGCCTGCCAGAGCGGTGATTTTGCTACTGCGGTCTTACTCTATACGGATGCATTGCAACTTGATCCAGGCAACTATATACTCTACAGCAATCGTTCCGCAGCACGTCTAAAACAAGGCCAATTCGCACTTGCGCTACAAGATGCGACAAAGGCACGTGATTTGTGTCCACAATGGCCGAAAGCATATTTTCGAGCTGGTGTTGCGTACCAGTGTTTGGGACGTTACGGCGAAGCACTTGCTTCATTTAGTGCTGGACTAGCGCAAGATGCACAAAACAAACAATTGCTAGCGGGTTTAGTTGAAGCATCTGTCAAAAGTCCCCTACGACATGCGCTGGAGCCGACATTTCAGCAATTACGTGCCATGAGTTTAGACCAATCACCATTTGTGGTCATATCGGTGGTGGGTCAAGAACTACTACAAGCTGGTCAATACCATTCAGCAGTTACGGTGCTAGAAGCAGCATTACGTATCGGCTCTTGTTCACTAAAATTACGTGGTTCCGTTTTTAGCGCACTTAGCTCAGCGCACTGGGCTTTAAATCAGTTAGACAAAGCAATAGGATATATGCAACAAGACTTAGCTGTAGCGAAGAGTTTAGGTGATACAGCTGGGGAATGTCGCGCACATGGAAATCTCGGTTCAGCGTACTTTAGTCAGGGTTCATACAAAGAGGCATTAACTGCACACCGTTATCAACTTGTGTTAGCAATGAAATGTAAAGATACACAAGCTGCTGCAGCAGCCCTTACGTCGCTGGGTCACGTATATACCGCCATTGGTGACTACCCAAATGCATTGGCCAGCCACAAGCAATGCGTGCAATTAGTGAAACAAATGGGTGACCGTTTACAAGAGGCTCGAGAAATAGGTAACGTTGGTGCTGTGTATCTTGCTATGGGAGAATTCGATTCTGCTGTTGATTGTCACACACAGCATTTGCGACTAGCACGTAAGTTAGGCAATCAAGTCGAGGAGGCACGCGCTTATTCAAATCTTGGTTCCAGTCATCACTATAGACGTAATTTCGCACAAGCTATTACCTTTCATGAACAAGTATTACGTATATCACAGCAACTTGGTGACAGAAATATTGAGGCACGTGCCTACGCTGGACTCGGTCATGCAGCACGATGTGCTGGTGATTGTGTGCAGGCAAAGAAATGGCATGAAAAACAATTAGAAATGGCGCTTGCAGCGCGCGATAAAGTTGGTGAAGGTCGAGCGTGTTCAAATTTAGGCATTGTTTACCAATTACTTGGTGAGCATGACGCGGCATTAAAATTACATCAAGCTCATCTAACAATAGCACGACAACTTCATGATCGTGCCGGTATGGGTCGTGCCTATGGCAATATCGGTAATGCTTACTCTGCTGCTGGCTTATATGAGGCTGCCATAAAGTATCATAAACAAGAGTTAACTATCAGCAAAGAGGTACATGACCGCAGCGCGGAAGCATCCACACATGGAAACTTAGCTGTTGCTTACCAAGCGATGGGTGCACATGATATGGCGCTTATACATTATCGCGCACACCTGAATATAGCTCGAGAACTAAAAGATACGGCTGGAGAAGCTTGTGCGCTACTTAATCTGGGCAATTGTCTTAGTTCGCGACAAGAGTTCGCACAAGCTGTTCCGTACTATGAACAATATCTGATGTTATCACAGGAGCTTGGCGATGTAGCCGCAGAGGTTAGTATATAAACTATTTATATTAATACAATATTGACCATTATATATTTATAAATTATTTTATAAATGTATAAAATTAAATCATTTTAGGGAAAAGCTTGCCATTTCCTCGGCTATGCTCACTATTGCATTGGAAATTTCCGCGAAGCAGTTCGTTATTACGATCAGGACTTGGCTTTAGCAAAGGATTTGCAAGATAAAATGAACATGGGTCGTGCTTACTGTAATCTTGGCCTAGCACATCTTGCACTGAGCAACAGCCAAGCTGCATTAGAATGTCAGAAATACTTCTTAGCGGTAGCTCACATGACAAATCATTTATCGGGCAAATTTCGTGCTCTAGGCAACATTGGAGATATACTCATACGCACAAGTGAAATTGAAGAAGCAGCTAAAATGTATCAGCGTCAACTCACATTGGCTAGGCAAGCACGAGAACGTCCAATGGAAGCAGCCGCTTGTGGCGCACTAGGCTTAGCACATCGTCTCATCAAGAAATACGATAAGGCTCTAGGCTATCATACACAAGAATTAACCTTACGTCAAGAAATGTCCGATCTACCTGGAGAATGTAAAGCACATGGTCATTTGGGTGCTGTACATATGGCACTTGGTAATTATACGCATGCTGTAAAATGCTATCAGGAACAATTGGAACGTGCACAAGAATTACAAGATTCTGCAATCGAGGCACAATCGTATGGAAATCTCGGCATTGCTAAGCTTAATATGGGTCACTATGAAGATGCTATTGGTTATTTGGAGCAACAATTGGGTACACTGGAGAGGGTTAATCTACCAACTACACAGCATGATCGTGCACGTGCTTTGGGTCACTTAGGTGACTGCTATGATGCACTTGGTGATTACGAGGAAGGTATAAAATGTCATGATAGACATTTACAGCTAGCAACGGCACTACAAAGTTTCCGCGATCAAGAACGTGCTTACCGTGGTCTTGGTCATAGTCATCGTGCTTTAGGTAATCTACAGGAGTCACTAGTTTGCCTTGAGAAACGCTTAGTTGTAGCTCATGAATTGGGCAGTCAGGAAGTAAAAGCTGTTGCATATGGTGACTTGGGCAATATACATAGCGCCATTGGCAATTATGAACAAGCTGTAAATTGCCTCGAACATCAACAAGAAATCTCACGGGAATTAGGTGATAGAGTTTTGCTTTCAGATGCTACTAGTGCTTTAGGAAATGTTTACCATCGCATGAACGATCAGGATGGTTCATTAAAACTGCACAAAATGGATTTGGAAATGTGCGAACATATGGGCGCACTAAGTTTACAAGCAAGGGCATGTGGTAATCTCGGAGCCGTTTATGAATCCATGAGAAATTATGCAGAAGCTGTAAAATACTATGAAAAACAATTGTCCCTAACAACGGATCGTCTTAGTAAAGCCTTTGCGTGTGGTTCTTTAGGTAAGATTAATAAATTAATTATAAATATAAATTATTACTTATATTTTAACCTATTATATTATTTGATGTTCATATTTTTAGGACGCGTATTTTATCAAATGGAACAATATTCTCAAGCCATTAACTTTTTGAGACAAGGTCTTGCTATCGCACAATCGATTAATAAAACGGAAGATGAAGCTAAAATAAGACATCAATTAGGTATGTTAAAAACCGTTAATGTACCGAAACTTTAATTCAATTTTATTTTTTAACTAAGGTCTTGCATTACGTGCTTCCGGAGATAACGAAGGTGCTCGCTCTCAAATGGAAACTGCTGCTCAGTTGCTTGAGTCCGTTCGATATGATCAACGCAGTCCTGAAGGTCGCACTTCACTTTTTGACCTTCAAACCACTTGTTACCATATACTACAACAAATACTTATAACCATGCAACGTAATGAAGATGCTTTAGTTGCAGCTGAACGCTGTAAGGCCCGCACAAGCCCAGACACTAACAGTATTTCACGAAAAACAACAATGACGTGCAGTGAATCTATCTATGACATTGTCAATCGCACAAAAACAAATGTTCTTTACTTCAGTTTAGCTGGAGACGACCTTTACGCTTGGTTCTTACAGCCACAAAAGGGCATTTCGCGTTTCAATGCAGTTCGCATCAGTGAGGAAATATTAAAAATAACAAACGAAAAAAATGACAAGTCTACAAAAGAATCGGTTCAAACCAAGGAAAGTTTGCTCGAACGTTATATTAATATGGTACGTGATAGTCTGGGAGTAAATTCAGATAGCGTACTACATGAAGGAGATGGTAGTGGCTGGCGTTCAAGTTCAGAAAATTTACTTGATGACTTTTCTAACGAACGGAATGGATTCTTACGAATGGTCAATCGCAATCATCTAATGAATTCTTCAAATTATTCCTTAAGTTCACTGTTTAGCTTAGGCTCTGTAGGTGGTTCAGTTGCAAGTCTACAGGGTTCGACACGCTCAATTGGTAGTTTACAAGGTTCTACACGTTCTCGCCGTGCACCAATGATGCCTGCTTGGCAAGGTCCTAGCTGTTTGCATACGCTATACAATTTACTTTTAGAACCATTTGATGACTTATTACCTTCGGGTTGTGCCGTTTCACGTCAAGGACGTAAAGAACTTATTTTAGTTTTAGAAAATGAATTGTATTTGGTACCGTTTGCTATACTACGTAGTGCAAAAGATGACGGTGAATACTTGTCGGAACGTTGTTCTCTTATGACTATACCGTCATTACAGTCACTGCGCTTGAAGAGTAAAATTTTGCGTACTCGTGAGTTAACAGAAAATCTTAATACTGCATTAGTTGTTGGTGGACCACGCATACCCACCGCATTATCTGAAACCTGGGGCTGGTCCGAGTCACCAGCATCCCTACAGGAAGCAGCTATGGTCGCTGATATGCTGCAAGCTAAAGCTATCGCTGGTTGTAGCGCTACAAAAGAAACTGTAATATCAGAATTGCCAACAGCTGAATGTGTGCATTTTGCAGCTAATCTCAGTTGGAAATTAGGTGCTGTGGTACTAAGCCCCGGGGATGTTGTTGATTCTCAAACACAGAAAAGATACTATCAAACGACCAATTCCGATAATAACGAAAGTAATGACGATACTAATGGTAGTTCTAACTTAGAACTGCCACAGCTCTCTGACTTTTTGCTATCAGCCGCTGATGTGTTAACAATGAAACTAAACGCGAAACTTGTTGTATTAAGCTCATACCATTCAATTGAACCCATAACAGGTGCTGGTGTAGCTAATTTAGCTGGCAGTTGGCTATGTGCTGGTGCAGGTGCTGTACTTATATCACTCTGGCCTGTGCCGGAAACTGCAGCGAAAATCTTATTACGTGCATTCTATTCTGCGCTTCTACAAGGGGCTCGTGCAGCCAGGTGAGTCCATTTTACTCATTATTAAAAATGCAAATATTAACATTAAAAATCAAATTCTGCTTATTTTTAGGGCGCTAGCAGAAGCTATGCAAACTGTTCAACATACAAAGCATTTTGCTCATCCCGCTAATTGGGCCGGATTTTTGCTAATTGGTGGAAATGTTCGGTTATCTAATAAAGTCGCCATGATGGGCAATGCACTATGTGAATTAATGAGAACTCCTGATAAATGCAGGGATGCCTTACGTGTTTGCTTACATCTGGTCGAAAAGAGTTTACAACGTATACATCGCGGTCAAAAGAACGCCATGTACACCACGCAGAAGAGTATTGAGAATAAAGCTGGCACAATCACGGGTTGGAAAGATTTATTAATGGCTGTTGGTTTTCGTTTCGAACCGGCAGCTAATGGAATTCCTTCAAGTGTTTTCTTTCCTCAAGCGGATCCGGAGGAACGACTTTCGCAGTGTTCTGCAAGCTTGCAAGCTTTATTAGCATTGACTCCACTGACATTACAAGCTTTAGCGAAACTTGTTAACAGCTCTGATGTAGCAGACGATATTATAGCAGTTGTGAGAAATGTTCTGTCACAATTTCCACCTAAGGGCAGTACAGAAATGGAAACGTGCATTGAAATTCCATTAAGTGTTAGACTTTGGCGTGTAGCTGGCTGTCACGAACTTTTAGCATCGTTAGGATTTGATCTTACAGAGGTTGGACAAGATGAAGTGACATTGAGAACTGGAAAGCAAGCTAATAGACGAAATTGTCAGTTTGTTTTACAAGCATTATTAGCGCTTTTTGGTAAGTTTTAAAATAAAAATTACTGTCTAATTTAACTTAATAAATTAATTTTAATTTAATTTTAGATACACAAGAAGCACCAAAAAGTTTAGGATTGGATTCCAGCAGCAGTTGCGAATCATTGAATGAAGAACCACATGCAGATATACATGTCTCCGTTGCCAATCCAACTATGTCTCTATTAGCCAGCCCACAACAAACTCATCTTAGCCACAATACAGCAGATATAGTTAAATCTGTCTCAATGGGTCTGATGCTTCCGCCTATGCCGATGAGCCGTTCACGAATGATTAGTACCGGCAGTGGTGCTTTTATTTCTTATGTTCGCAGACGTGGCGAACCTGATGGTGGACGTACCGACACTGAATCAGCACCAAGTACAACTGCTTCTGCATTATACCCCACACTGGATTCCAGTTTAGCTAACACAACAGACAGTGATTTATCTGACGGTTACATATCCCAAAATCATCTTAATAAAAATAATTGCCCGCGTTTAGGTTATTCCAGCCTGCGTGGGCGTGTAAATGTGTCACGTCCTGGAGGAGGCGGGGAAAGCGATGCAGCTTTTACACCAAGTCCACCAGTAGTCACACAAAATCCAGTCGAACAAAATGTATCACTGGCATTGGCACATCAAACTCGTATACGGCACTTGTACTCAAGCTCTGGACTAAATTACTTAGGAGATAGTGTCATACCAGAAATGTCAGTAGCACACACTACATCTCGTAGACCTGATAGTTCAAGTTCAGCTAGTTCAACAACTGATTGGGAGGGTTCAGGACATGCAACAGTATTAAGGCGCAACAATCAAACTGTACAACCGCATGGACATTTGCCACCTATGCCACCACCAAGACCTAATATGCCATTAGTTGATAGTTTACGTCCACTTCCACCACTTGCACCTGTTTATAATAATCTTGGTCAAGCAGTTGGTCCATCCAACTCTGGTAGTAATATAAATAATATGGAATCCACTAGTTCTGAATCTGAGTTTGAACGCGGTTTGGAACTAGCACAAACACCAATGTCTCACTTCCGTCTTAAACCAAAAATAAAGTTGGGTAATGCACAGTCTTCTATTGCTGCACGTCTTAGCAAAGAGCATGCGTTATTCATGGATCGTTTAAGTGTACGTACTGAAGTTGCTACAAGTACACCCAATAACTCTCCTAACCCCAACACAACACCAGCTGTATTCAACAATGTACGCAAACATCTTAGCTTAAATGAACAAGATGAAAACCAACTCGTACTTAGTACCTCCAACTTATATTTCACACAAAATGAGAACGAATTAATGACAGAAACTGTTAACAAGGATATCAAGCCAACAACTGCGAATATTGCTAACAGCTCTCAAGTTTCCACTGCTAAAGAATCAATAAAACCAAATCAAAAGAACATACAAGATTCTATATTGCGCCACATGAATCGCGAAATGACACCTACCATTTCAGAAGTATATCACGAACGTAATCTTGGTTTGGGTCTAGCACCACCATTATCCAAACTTTTGCTTAGCAAAAATTATGAAGACACGGAAACGAATACAATTAAACATGCAATTACCAACAACAATTGTGCTATAAAAACTCTAGTAGAGGCTGTTAATGAGTTGGAATTAAGTGGTGCCTCCTCCACCTCTTCTGTTAGTACAGCTAATACAAAAACTATAAATACCAAGGCACACGCTGTCGCACCTATTTCGCCTGTGACAAACAGTAGTAACAGCGAAGTTTGCACGGTTTGTGGTGAACCCGCAGATATTATTTGCCACTGCAAGGCTGCAACTGTACAAAAGAAGTCCACTATGAAGCCTTGGCTTAGTAATGTGCCCTCAAGTATAGTAAAAGCCAGCGACTTAACTACTGCTGATATATTAGAACGACAGAATAAAATTAAGACGAATGGCAGTAACACCGATATGACCAATATTACATTACCAAATCTTAAGCGTGCTAGCAGTCCATTTAACGAGTTATGTCGACGTGATGAGGGTGATGGTCGTTCAGTTGCAGATTCACAGTGCAGCAGCAATTACAAAAATGATCTTGCCAAACGCTTGGTTAGCTCTTCAACGATCCCAAATAATGAGAGTTGTAGCATGAATCAAGTCAGTATTGCTCCATCAATGGCAGGACGTAAAGTGTAAATTTTTCTTATACTAAGAATAAATTATTTTACGGAGTTATATTTTATTTAATGTAAAATTAAAATACTAATGCAATAATAATTTTATTTTAATTATTATTTAAATTTCTTTTAATATGTACAAATTTATTTATATCCTTAAATTAATATTAAACATTAAGTTTAAACTTAAGCTAAAAATATATTATCCATTTATTTATTTAAATTTGAATTAAATTAATATAATACATATAAAATTAACATAAAATCATAATTCTAATCTAAAATAATTTAATTAATATTAAGTAGAAAAGCTATCACATAAATTAATAGATAGCTATATATGAATTATGTACGCATAGAACTGATTAATTATATATTTTGATTATATTAAATTTAAAATGTGTTTTATTTATTCTTCAAGGTCATTATTATTATTATTATTAATGTGTATTTTATTTAATAAAACTGAAATAATGAAGGTTTGTTCCATATTGTTGCTCACTACAATACAATATAATATTTATTTATGTTAATATATATTAAATTAATATTATATTAAATGAATTTTATATAATAAATACAATATTAATTTAATTTATAATAATACTATAATATATAATGTATATATGTATATAGAAGGAACCAGTTCTTACTTCATTTGGAAAAAAGTCAGAAATAGTGAACACCGTTTTTATAGCAACCTTGATTGCCGAAGGAACAGTTTAAAATGTACTTAGTATATCCAGAGAAAATACGTTGTATAGATGCCAGAATAAAGAGCTGCACCCAGAATCTTTGAGAGTGAAGTTTAAACAACCAGAAGGAAAACCGAGAAAGAGATGGACAATATTTGAGGGATATGAATGTCATCAACCAGAAGAAATAAAACAAAAATAGAAAAGAATGAAGGAATGTCGTAAAACAAGCTTAAATTCTACATGGACTGTATAGCTATGGATAATGATATTCAGAGAAAAATATTCTGAAATGAACTATCGTACGATTAGTTTTTGTTTGGCGCCTATACAAAGAACTCCAAAAATTTTCGAGTGGCGATTTTTAGCTGAATTTCATTCAAAAAAAGCGTCGTTGTGATGTGGTCAAAGAGATGATTTCCAACGCAGATAGTAACCCCACATTCATCAAATGCATCGTAACTGGTGATGAGACATGGGTCTATGAATTTGACATGACCAAACAACAATCGACCGAATGATGCTTTGAAGGTGAGCCGAAACCGAAAAGAGAACGCCAAAGTCGGTCCAAAATCAAGGTTATGCTGACTGTTTTCTTCGGCATTCGTGGTGTGGTGCACTATGAATTCCTTCCGGACGTATGATTTGGCCGTTATACGTCATTTGCGTGAGGCCATTCGCAAAAAGAGGCCAGAGTTATGGAAGGAAAACTCATGGATTTTACACCACGATAACGCACCGGCTCACACAGCGTTGGTTGTGTCGCAGTTTTTGGCCAAAAACTCCATCAAAATCAGCAACCAAGCACCGTACTCTCCAAATATGGTACCGTGTGACTTTTTCCATACCTTCGGCGGCCTATAAAACTTGAAAAGAAAGTTGATCAAGTGTTGACATGCATGTATTGCCGTAGGAGGAGAGTACTTTGCGTGTTTTTTTAACTTCTCGTTCCTTTTTGATCAAATGGTATGGTGCTTGAAACCATGTCGCATTATGTTTTTAAGTATTCGATCACAAATATTATCATTATTATTCATTATTTGCATTACAAACATACTACGAATACTACGAGTTTACTTATAATTACTAGTGCTTCAAACTGTTCGAAATCTCGAGTATTTTAAAGTTCGAGTAATTAGGTTAAGCGGATTGAGTTCGTTGGAATATGTTCAAACACTATGATGTTCGAATATATTTAAGCATATGCTGTTAGTGAAACAAGAACATAGTGAGAATCAAACAAAAAGCATATTTCAATTAAACTAAAAATGTGAACTAGTTCATATCAATATAATAAATTTAATTAGTTCATTAAAATAAGCCAGTCTGCCCAACTTTATCATACACTGAACTTTGAATTGTTTGAATACTCGAAAAAAATTTATATATTAATATACATTTATTATGGATTTAAAAAATACCTTTTTATATATTAATTATATATTATTAAATACAAACAAAAATTTTACTGAACTCTAAAATTGAAATGATTATAGACTTTTTTTTTGAGAAATTTGATAAGATGAATTTAAGTACACTTAATTACCCCATAAAAATTATGTATAATTAATTTTAAAAATTTATTACCATATATTAGCACATTAATCTGCAATATTTGAAGCAAAACATTTTCATACAAACATATTTTTTTTATAAATAAACACTTTAGACAAAATTATCAATTTGTAGTGAGATTACCAAAATTTGCTTATCAAAAGAAATTATTTTATGATGGTCATTAAAATATAATAAAATTTATAGAAGAAATATAAAAAAATTCAAATATTTTGTATAATTTCAGTAGCTCTTTAAATTTTATATATTTTTTTTATTATTACTACATACTTATTAAGTAGATCTCTACACAAATGAATAAATGATATTCAACTATAATGATGATTTTTATCAATATACAAAAGTATATAAAAAAAATACAAGATATATCTACGAGTTAATAGTTTATTTCAAAAAGTTAGTTTTTTATAAGGAAATAATTTGTCCTATAAGATATAAATATACAGAAATGAAAGTATTTATTGTCATATAGCTACAAGGTTTTCACATCATTTAGCATTGCGGGCACTGCTAAATGATGTGGCTCCAAATGAGTTTGTACTCAAAATTTTAGGTAATAATGAAGTCAAAATACAGCCCAACACAGCGGATATCTACTCAAAAGTTACCAAAGCTCTTGCAGAAAAGCAGACGGAATTTCATACTTACAAACTAAAGCAAGAGAGAAGCTTTAATGTAGTGTTGAGGGGCCTACATCCATCAATACCTATTGATGAAATCAAACAAGATTTAATTAATTTAGGCCATGAAGTAGTCAATATCAGTAACATTCGACATCGTGTTACAAAAAAACCACTTCCTCTGTTTTTCGTTGGACTAAAGCCCTCAGACAAGGTGAAAACAATTTACAACTGTACTGACTTGCTGCACACAAAAATTTCCATTGAAGCGCCTAAAAAGAAGCGCGAATTGCCGCAATGCACTCGGTGCCAACGATATGGTCATACAAAACATTTTTGTAATCATATGCCACGCTGTGTTAAATGCCCTGAAAACCACTTATCTTCAGATTGCCCACGCAAATCCCCCGGTAATGATGTATGGTGTGTTCTTTGTGAAGGTAATCACCCGGCTAACTATAAAGGGTGCACAGTTTACAAACAACTCCAGAAAAAAGCGTTTCCAGCCCTACGTAGAAAAATAACAACTGATACAGAAAGGCAACAGAACACCAAATTGAATGTAACAAGCCAAACGTATGCAAATGTTGTTAAATCTAACAATATAAACACTCAAGAGCACGTAAACTCAGCTCAGCAAAACGATTTTCCTGAGCTTAAATCAATGCTCAAAACGGTTATGGAACAAATGAGCTCTATGCTCAACCTCCTAACCGCATTTGTCGCTAATACATCCAAATAATGAGTAGTCTAAATATAGCTATTTGGAACGCTAACGGGCTGACCCAACACATTTGCGAAATTAAGACTTTTCTTCTTGACAAAAACATTGATGTTATGCTTATTAGTGAAACTCACTTTACATCAAGAAGTTATCTGAGGCTTCCATATTACACAATGTACAACGCAAACCATCCTTCTGGTAACGCCCGTGGTGGCGCAGCAATAATCATAAAAAATAATATTGACCACTCATTTCTCACCAATCACAATGAAGACTATCTACAATCAACAGCCATATCAGTACGAGATATATATGGTGAAATAACTATTGCCTCTATATACTGTCCACCTAATCAACCAATTAAAAGTCATCAATTCGCAAATTATTTCAAAACGCTCGGGCCCAATTTCGTAGCAGCAGGAGACTTTAACGCCAAGCATACTCATTGGGGCTCAAGATTAATAACACCCAGAGGACGCGAGCTATTAAAAACGATACAAGAAAGCAACCTATTTCACCTATCTACTGGCGAACCCACTTACTGGCCGACAGATCTAAATAAAACACCAGATGTCATTGACTTTTGCATTTGTAAGGGTGTACCCATAAATAATCTAACCTTGCGGTCGTCGTTAGATCTTTCGTCTGACCACTCTCCTCTTCTGTTAGAAATTCATTCGAATATCGTTTTAAAAACTCCAGAACTTAGACTTCACAACAAAAGAACTGATTGGGCTATTTTCCGTAGTTACATTAGCGAACACCTCACGACACATATTCCTCTTAAAACTAATCATGACATTGAAGCCGCAGTAGAACAATTCAACAAAATTGTACAAAAGGCAGCTTGGTCTGCAACTCCGTCTACACAGAATTGTAGGACTGTACATCTAGACAAGGATATCAAAGAACAACTACTTGAAAAACGTAAATTACGTAGGGTTTGGCAGATGACGAGAGATCCTAACGATAAGAGGCGCCTGAATGTAGCCACTAAAAAACTCAAAATAAATCTAGAGGCAAGAAAAAATGCAAGCATTGCAACTTACTTAGCAAGCTAGTCTCCCTCTGAGGCCACTGAGTACTCCTTGTGGAAAGCCACACGCATACTTAATGCACCAACATCGCATATACCACCAATAAAGATGAGTAATGGGCAATGGGCTAAAACTGATGCTGATAAAGCGAAAACTTTTGCAGTGCATCTTGGTAAAGTCTTTCAGCCACGCTGCTCAAAAAATAATCTGAAAGACTCTGAAGTTGAAGCTTTTCTTCACACACCGCATCAATTAGACTTTCCTATTCCTAGGTCATTGACTCGTGAATTAAAGTGGGTCATAAAAAACAAAATTAAAACCAGAAAAGCTCCAGGATATGATCTGATAACCGGAAAGGTGCTACATGAGCTACCAGATGTGGGTTTTAAATTCATAAACCAATTGTTCAATGCAATTTGCACCTGT